GATAAAAATACATTGTTGATGGATTTAGATCTTCTAATAAAATTGTATGCATATATCCTGGATCAATAAAAGCTTGTGGACCCCATTGATTAGCTTTTCCTTCACACATATCGGATGCTGTATATGTTATTGTTGTTCCATTTTTATGATAATTTAAAGATGATGAAGTTAAACCATATTGACATTGAGGAATATATTCTGATGAATTAGTTAAATATGAAACATACATTTGATCAATTCTATCACCATAAGCTAAATGAATTTGTGTTGGTTCATTATAATTAACTGGTTGAATAATAGGAGATTTAGCAATAAGAGAATAATTGCCTGAACAACTATGATCACGTGAATAATAACGAAATTCTAATGGACGACGAAGATTTGTCATTTGCCAGGACATATTACTTTGCTTATATTGAACAAATTCATAATCAAAATAATCACAAGCTAAAGTCAAATATAATTTATTCATTCTTATATATAACTAAATTCTAAAGAAGTAATAAAAACATACCTGCAATAAGAGAAATTTCAATATAATAAATACCAATAAAATCATCTTTACATGATGCTGATATTGGTGTCCATGTTACTTGAATTTGTTCACTGCTCATATAAACTGTTTTAGATACTTGTAAATCTTGTACAACTTTATTTCGTCGACGAAAAATTGAAGAATAAATGCCTGCTCCTCTATTACAGGCATATGGACTTGGTTCATTGTGAAATTCATGACGTTTTCCAAATGGTCCATTGGCATTTAAATGCTTTTCGGCTTGGACAAAAACAATAAAAGACAATATAAATATAGAAAAATATGCCACTCGATAAACAAGTATATTATTAGAAGCTGTCACCATCACACTTTTCATATCACATACTATTTTAGTATGACACACACACACTGATAATACACATTTTTATATAATATTCAAGCAAACGATCCGGTCGTTTCATTGGTGAATAAACCGATGCAATAGGGCGTCTTATTACAACCTCCGTTTTAGAACGATAATGGTTAGTAGATGTAGTAACTGGTTAATGGATATCAAAATGATTGTATGTCTCATTTCTGCATGGGAGATATACATTTTAAAACTAGTTTCTCTTAAAAATCTGTTTATATTCAAAGACATTCATAATAATAAAGATTTTATCTTTAGATAAAAGTTTTGTTCACAATTACATTTTGCATAGAATATACTTAAAAAGTTTATCATATTTTTTTAACAATTTGAAATAGATCATGAAGTTGTTGAAACAATTTCAACTGCTAAGATAATGGAAGTTGTACAAACTGATTCACTGGAATTATCATCATACATACATTTTCTAAGATTAAACTATTCACCGCACTTTTCCTTATAGTGCTGGTAGATATTCACTATCTCCACTACAATCGTCAAAATCATGAATGAAGAGTCATTGAGTTTTGGATGCGATTAATTTCATCCTCATCAATAGAAAGTTACATTTAAATAGTGATCAAATCTAGGGCTTTTGAAGGATGGAAGCGGTAAAAGGCAATAAATACGCTATGGATAGTAGTAACACGTTAATAATAATCTTAGACGAAAAACGCATCTTAGAGTATGTTGGACAAGATGATCAACCTAATTATAGAACTTTTATACAGAATAAAGTATTTGTATTTTTTAAAATTCTAACCAACATCTCAATTCACTTCGAAGCGAAAACATCTTCGATCTGTTTCAGTTTTATCAATTTATAGCTTTCACTTGTATATAAGAGAAATTTTTTTAGCGAATATATAATTTATTATACTTTTTTTCTGATAATACCTTTCGAGAAAACAAACTCCGTTTGACTATAGACAAATGTTATATTTTAAATTAGCACAAAGAGTTGTAGCGACTTTTTTACGTTTCAAACTTGTTTGAATGTTTCTTTTTGGGTCTAATTTTCCTCTCGTCAGTATTGGTATAGGTATGACTTAAACAAAAAACACATTTATCCTCTATTTGAAGTCGTCGATTTCAATCCAACTGGATTAACAGTAGAAAAATTTATTTACTATCAATAACAATAGTTTTTTCATGCTCATCCTTTCATTTTCTTTCTTCATGCTACTATTACGATCCTTTATATTTTGTTCCCTGGGTGCGACTTTTACCATTTTCCTTTAGTTACTGAAGATTTGTGGCTCACATTTACGATTTCAACGAAAATGAACTTTAGATTCAAATTCATCGCTGTGGGAAAAGGTATGGACGAGAGTGATAGTAACTCGAAATATCTCTTCTATGACTCAAAAACGTGGTTTAGATTTTAGGTCAATCAGAGCGCTGAGAGAGGGTCCTCTAGTCTAGACTCTCTAGAAGAATTCCCGTTGTGAGTCTCTGGGGGAGTTAAGAGGAGATTCAGGAATTCTTCAGGGATTTCATGGAGACTTCCTAGGGACTCTCCAGGGAGTTGATGACTATTATCAGGGTCTTTCCAGGATGCCACCATCAGAATTCTTTGAAAAATTTGAATTTATGAAAATTTTAGAGGGACTCCCTAACTACCAAGGACAAAATTAACGCGACACGTATTTTTGATAGATATT